GCTTTCCATGTCATTCTACTTTGATCCATTCTCTCTAAATGACCAAACCACCTCAACAACCCCTCTTCTGCCCTCTGACTAATGCTTTTATTAACTCCACACCTTCTCCTAATTTCCACACTTCGGATTTTCTGCATAATATTTACACCACACATTGCCCTTAGACAGGACATCTCCACTGCCTCCAACCGTCTCCTCGCTGCTGCATTTACCACCCAAGCTTCACATCCATATAAGAGTGTTGGCACTACTATACTTTCATACATTCCCTTCTTTGCCTCCATAGATAACGTTTTTTGACTCCACATTACCTCAACGCACCACTCACCTTTTTTCCCTCATCAATTCTATGATTAACCTCATCCTTCATAAATCCATCCGCCGACACGTCAACTCCCAAGTAATCTGAAAACATTCACTTCTTCCATACTCCTCCTCCCCAATTTGATATCCATTTTTTCTTTATCTAAATCATTTGATACCCTCATCACCTTACTCTTTTCTATGTTCACTTTCAACTTTCTACCTTTACACACATTCTCAAACTCATCCACTAACCTTTGCAATTTTTCTTTAGAATCTCCCATAAGCACAGTATCATCAGCAAAAAGTAACTGTGTCAATTCCCATTTTGAATGTGATTCCCCATAATTTAATCCCACCCCTCTCCCGAACACCCTAGTATTTACTTCCTTTGCAACCCCATCTATAAATATATTAAACAACCATGGTGACATTACACATCCTTGTCTAAGACCTACTTTTACCGGGAAGTAGTCTCCCTCTCTTCTACACACCCTAACCTGAGCCTCACTATCCTCATAAAAACTCTTTACAGCATTTAATAACTTACCACCTATTCCATATACTTGCAACATCTGCCACATTGCTCCTCTATCCACTCTATCATATGCCTTTTCTAAATCCATAAATGCAATACAAACTTCCCTACCTTTATCTAAATACTGTTCACATATATGCTTCAATGTAAACACTTGATCTACACATCCCCTACCCACTCTGAAACCTCCTTGCTCATCCGCAATCCTACATTCTGTCTTACCTCTAATTCTTTCAATTATAACCCTACCTTACACTTTTCCTGGTATACTCAGTAAGCTTATTCCTCTATAATTTTTACAGTCTCTTTTGTCTCCTTTCCCTTTATATAAAGGGACTATACATGCTCTCCGCCAATCCCTAGGTACCTTCCCCTCTTTCATACATTTATTAAACAAAAAGTACCAACCACTCCAACACTATATCCCCCCCTGCTTTTAACATTTCTGTCATGATCCCATCAGCTCCAGCTGCTTTACCCCCTTTCATTTTACGTAATGCCTCACGTACCTCCCCCACACTTACATTCTGCTCTTCACTCCTAAAAGATGGTATACCTCCCTGACCAGTGCATGAAATTACTGCCTCTGTTTCTTCCTTAACATTTAAAAGTTCCTCAAAATATTCTCGCCATCTACCTAATACCTCCCTCTCCCCATCTACTAACTCCCCTACTCTGTTTTTAACTGACAAATCCATATTTTCCCTAGGCTTTCTTAACTTGTTTAACTCCAAAATTTTTTCTTATTTTCATTAAAATTTCTTGACAGTGCCTCTCCCACTCTTTCATCTGCTCTCCTTTTGCACTCTCTCACCACTCTCTTTACCTTTCTTTTACTCTCCATATACTCTGCTCTTCTTATAACACTTCTGCTTTGTAAAAACCTCTCATAAGCTACCTTTTTCTCTTTTATCACACCCTTTACTTCATCATTCCACCAATCACTCCTCTTTCCTCCTGCCCCCACCCTTCTATAACCACAAACTTCTGCCCCACATTCTAATACTGCATTTTTAAAACTATTCCAACCCTCTTCAACCCCCACCCCCCTACTCATCTTTGCACTAACCCACCTTTCTGCCAATAGTCGCTTATATCTCACCCGAACTTCCTCCTCCCTTAGTTTATACACTTTCACCTCCCTCTTACTTGTTGTTGCCACCTTCCTCTTTTCCCATCTACCTCTTACTCTAACTGTAGCTACAACTAAATAATGATCCGATATATCAGTTGCCCCTCTATAAACATGTACATCCTGGAGCCTACCCATCAACCTTTTATCCACCAATACATAATCTAATAAACTACTTTCATTACGTGCTACATTACTTATTACCAAATTTCTTTCTACACATAGCTCAATTAAAGGCTCCCCATTTACATTTACCCCTGGCACCCCAAATTTACCTACTACTCCCTCCATAACATTTTTACCCACTTTAGCATATATATATATATATATATATTTAATTTGTTCAGGGCGCTGCGCAAGAGAACGTATATATACGTTTGTACTATTTAAGGGTTAAAAATAAATGTGTAGGAAAAATAATGGGAGATGTAGTCTCAAGGCTTTTATTGTAAGATTTATCATTGCTTTGTGTTATTATAGAAGTACTGGTACTGTTCTTATAATTTTTTTTTTTTAAAGAATATTTTAAGGGATGCCAGCACTTCAGATATGGAGAACACTACCACAACATCTGAAAAAACTGGAAGGAAGTTGCGTAAGCCTGTTGCTGCTGCTCCTCAATGTGTAAGAATCTCAAGTTATTACAGTATTGTCTCTATTCAGTGCCCTTAATATTGTGTAGCTTTTACATTACTGTGGTAAAAAATCTAGTTAAGGGTGATGTGAAAAAATTTATGCAAAAATTCACAATTCATAGGCAGGTGTGGTCTCTTGCTTGAATGCGTAATGTGACTATTCATGTTATACAGCCTCTCGTCACTTAACGACAGAGTTCAGTTCCTAAGACCACTTTGGTAAATGAATTCATTGCTAAGTGAGGAGCATACTGGAATGGTATTGGTGTGACGACCATCTTTGATATTGTTTTAATATCACCTTTAAACCATTTATAACATTTCTGGTATATTTTTAATTGTTTATACAGTAGTGTACTGTATATTGTAATAAACAGAATAGAGAGAATCGTCTCTAATATACATTATTTACGTATGCATGCTGGTCAGAGAGCCCGTCGTAAGTACAAGTCGTCGCTAAGTGAGGAGAGGCTGTAGTTAAAATTAAATATTTTCATTGTTTCAAATGAGGTTTGTAATTTTGTATTTTGGGTTTCAGGTTACATAATTGAACAAACAGGTAAGAGGTGAGCTATAATTTGTGTACCTTTTGTGCTTACCATGTATTGATAAACACTTTATACACATTTGTGTGAGCACTGAACAAATATAAAATAGGTCTCCCTCAACTTTCACGGGCTTCGCACATTCGCAAATTCCCAGCCGCCAAGTCATATTTAAGTTTCTCGCCACCCGCGTGTCCCTACTACCCTCCCTCTGACCCCCACAATTGGCAGCCAGCCCACCTGCCACTGTGTATGGTGAGTGTTTTGTTTGTTCATTATTTGCTATTAACCCTTTCAGGGTTGGGCCCCATTCAGGGCAGGAGAAATATCGGAGCTGGAACAAATACATAGAGATCGTTTACGGCTCACATTGAGCCAGTAAAGCGCCTAAACTACTGGGAACGCCTGCAAGTCTTGAACATGTACTCATTGGAGCAGAGGAGAGAGAGGTACATGATAATATATACCTGGAAGGCACTCAAGGGCTTCGTCCCAAATCTGCACACTGCCATAACATACTGGAGTGAGAGATATGGGAGGAAATGTAAAATAAACCCAGTGAGGAGCAGGGGTGTGGTGGGGACAATAAGGGAACACTGTATCAACATCAGGAGTCCCAGACTTTTCAACATCTTACTAGAAGATATCAGAAACACTGCTGGAACAAGTGTTGAAGCCTCAAAGAGGAAACTAGACAAGTATCTTCTCCAGGTGCCAGATCAACCAGGCTGTGATGGATATGTGGGGCAGCGGGCCTCCAGCAGCAATAGCCTGGTTGACTAGACGAGCCTGGCCTGTGGCCGGGCTCAGAGAGTAGATATACTCTCAAAATTCTTCAAAGGTAAAAGTAGTACGGCTTACGCGCTAGGGTTGGTGCTGTATTAGTACGCATAAATTCTGGCGTCCTCAAATGTGAGAGAATGGGTCTCCATGGTCAGTGTACGCAGTATAAAAAAAATCGGGGACCCAGTGGTTCATCATGGGAAAGCCATTTTATTACACCTTGTTCGCCATGTCGAGTGGTAAGAAACTGCTCAGCTAATTGTTCCCAAGTGACAGTTCAAACACAGATGGAAGTGTCAGTGAAGATGAATTTCATGGTTTTGAGGAGTTTTTGACTGAAAGCAATGCCCAGGAAACCAACCTGAAGGAAGGAAGGTAGAAGAAAGGGAGGAAAGAAGGAAGAAATGAGAGGAAGGAAGGAAGAGATGAGAAGAATGAAGGAATGAAAGAGGGAAGAAAGGAAGGAGACCATCAACCTAGGATAACTCAAAAAAATTCAGACAGTGATTTATTTCCATGTGGGTTGCTGGGGTGGGGAGGAAGGGATGGGTGTTGACACAGTGAGGGTGGTGAGTGGTGGTGGTGTGACACTAATTAGGCTGGTGACTCGGCATATTTACAAGTCCACCCCACACAACAACTATGAGCTTTACAGAAGCTGTAGCAGTTCTTGGAAGTGTCCAGTGACTTTGTGTGTATATATGTGATAGAAAAATAGTAATAAACAACATTTTTTATTGTTGGTTTGTATAAACATGTTATGTAAACAATATAATAACTGCTGTTATTGTGTAGCATACAACGAGTGAATATACATTCGATATAATTTATATTGGTCTCGCACGCCAGAAAAGTTATTTGAAGGAAGGAGAGAAGGAAGGAGGGAGGGAGGGAAAGTGGGAAGGAAGAGATGAGAAGATGGAATGAAGGGAGGAAGGTAGGTGTGTGGGGAGGAAGGGATGTGTTGTGGAAGGCAGTGAGGTTAGTGAGTGGTGGTATGATGCATCATTGTGACACGACACACTGGTGACTTAGCATATTTACAGGTCCACCGCCACACTACAAGCTTTCAGAACCTCTAGTAGTTATAGGAACCTGTCTAGTGACTCTGTATGAGTATATATATGATAGAAAATAGTAATAAACAACATTTTTTATTGTTGGTTTGTGTAAACATGTTTTGTAAACAATATAATGACAGCAAAGTTTATGCTGTTATTGTGTAGTATACAATGAGTGAGTATATACCAAATAGTCTTTATATTGGTCTCAGAAGCCATAAAAGTTACTTGAAAAAAATAAGAGTAGAGAAAGCAAAAACTATTACCAGGTGACCGGCAGTCGGCGATGTAGCCATATGCAGTTCAGTTTGTCAACTTCATGCCTCCATATCTCGGTAAGTATTAATGGCAAAAAAAATTTTTTTTTAGCCTATAAAATTTAGAAAAAAAGAAAACTATCTTTTCATAAGAATTTTTTTCTCTCTCGAATATTTACCGACCCTGAGAACAGGTTTGGGAGAGGGCCTGCTGACCCTGAAAGGGTTAAACTACTGTATAAATGTCAACCCATTCATGACTGCATATTGGAATGGCCATTTGGACAGGTATTGGATGACGACATCACTTGCTTACTCTTGAACATGGCAAAGAATCGAACATTTCTGCTACTGCTAATAATAATAATAATAACAATACGATAGAATTGAAGAAGGAAATTGTACAAAAAATACGAGGGTTGAAGCAGTGGTGGAGGCATCGCGAGTCAGTTTGGCTTTGTTTATGCTGGAGTGAGCATTAGCCTCGGTGCTCTTCCAAACATTTCACAATAATGCATTGTGTTTAATAATAATGATGATAATATATGTGCAGACAGTACAGGCTGTCTAATGTGAACAGGTTTATTGGTAATGCTGCAAGCGGGGTGTGAATTATAAACGTCTTCAGAGGCTTCTTACTTTATTTGCAAAGTCGTGGTGGGCACACAGGCTTGTGTTGTGCCCATGGCCCAGTTAGGGCCATCCCACGAGAGGAGAGAGCTACTAGGCCTTGGGTCTTGCTGCTTGGCCGCTGAGTGAGTGAGCGAGCGAGTGTGGGACCAGCTTCCCACAGACCTGGAGCAGGCCCAGAGGGCAGCACTTTAGTGGCACGAAATATGAACTAAGCTGGCAGACAGCATAGGCTGTCTGTGCAGACAGTACAGGCTGTCTACATACGTTATTAACCCTTAATCCCTTGACTGTCGCAACCCCAATTCCTGAGGTGTCTCCTAGTGTTGAAAATTTTTGAAAAAAAAAAAAATCTTATGAAATGAAAGAGAATCTTTTCCCAATGGTAATGACACCAAAACAACAAAATTTGATGGAAAACTTACAGAATTATGCTTTTGCAAAGTTAGTGACCTCAGCGATATTTACAAATCAGCGATTTCGCCCACTTTAAGCCTTATTTTCAGCTAATTCCATTGTTCCAGTCAACCAAACTCATAATTATTTCTTTAGAACTCCATTTCTTGTATCGATTGAGTACAAAAACTGCCCATTTACCGATGTCAACTACCCAATAACATGGTCAGAAATTTTCAATTTGGCCAATTTAACGCAAATTGAAAAATATGCCAATTTCAAAATAGGGTCCAGAATGAACAGTGCAAACATTCCTGGCTCTAAAATAACATTTTCTTTGTTCAGCAGTCACATCTCCAGGCTTCCCTAATATTACTCTTGCTTTCTATTTTGAATTTTTATTCAAACAAAAAATAGAAGATTCACTGTTATGCAGACTACTGCAATATTGTAATAATTGTATAAGTAATGTCACCCCATTCATGACTGCATATTAGAATGGCTAGTTGGACATTTATTGGACAATGACATCATTTGTTTACTTTTGAACATTGGCAAAAATCAAACATTTCCCCTACTTCGGGCTCCATTTCAAGGTTCTTTTTTTAGTAAAACCAGTCGGAATCACCTGTATTTCTGTAATGTGTTTTCCATTCTATCAAATGAGACCAAGAAAACGAGAATACAACCATAAATACTAGACGAAAATAAACCGCAAACTCGGTGTTTTAATCCAAAAGCATGGTTGTAGTTTATTTTCTCATTATGCACTGCGTGCTGCAGGATTTTTTTATATGGTGCACACTGACCACACAGACCCATTCTCTCATATGTGGGCCTACCAGCCTTCTCCTGCTTGATTTGAAGCCGCTAGAATTTTTGAGTATATATGTCAAACACAGTGGCTCGTAAGACGTATATATACGATCAAAACAGTGAAAGGGTTAAACTGTCCAAACGTAGATCTTCGTTGACGTGCATAGCGGTCCGACCTTGATTTTCTCCATTTGAAAGCATGTAAAATCGGACATAGATCTACGTTCGGAGCACTATGCACATCAACGTAGATCTACTTTTGGACAGTTTAAGGGCTTACAGTAATAATAATACAATCTTTTTTTTAACAAGTTGACCATCTCCCACTGAGGCAGGGTGACCCAAAAAGAAAATACATTCATCATTCAACACTTTCACCTCATACATAATCACTGTTTTTGCAGAGGTGCCCAGAACACAACAGTTTAGAAGCATATACGTACATATAAAGATATATAACATATCCCTCCAAACTGCCAATATCCCAAACCCCTCCTGTAAAGTGCAGGTATTGTACTTCCCATTTCCAGTACTCACTTCCGGCTATATAAAAATAACCAGTTTCCCTGAATCCCTTCACTAAATATTACCCTGCTCACACTCCAACTCATCAGGTCCCAAATACCATTTGTCTCCATTCACTCCTATCTAACACGCTCACGCATGCTTTCTGGAAGTCCAAGCCCCTTGCCCACAAAACCTCCTTTACCCCCCTCCCTCCAACCTTTTCGTGGCCAACCCCTACCCCGCCTTCCTTTCCCTACAGATTTACACGCTCTCCATGTCATTCTACTTTGATCCATTCTCTCTAAATGACAAAACCACCTCATCAACCCCTCTTCAGCCCACCTTCTCCTAATTTCCACACTCCAAATTCTCTGCATAATATTTACACCACACATTGCCCTTAGACAGGACATCTCCACCGCCTCCTTGCTGCAGCATTTACAACCTAAGCTTCACACCCATACAAGAGTGTTGGTACCACTATGCTTTCATACTTTCCCTTCTTTGCCTCCATAGATAGTGTTTTATTTTTCTCCACATATACCTCAGTGCACCACTCGCCTTTTTTTCCTTCATCAGTTCTATGGTTAACCTCATCCTTCATAAATCCATCCGCTGACACGTCAACTCCCAAATATCTGAAAACCGGACTTGAGTCCTGGAAATGGGAAGTACAATGCCTGCACTCTACAGGAGGGGTTTGGGATATTGGCAGTTTGGAGGGACATGTGTATTTTTATACGTATATACTTCTAAACTGTTGTATTCTGGGCACCTGTGCAAAAACAGTGATTGTGTGAGTGAGGTGAAAGTGTTGGATGATGATGAAAGTATTTTCTTTTTGGGGATTTTCTTTCTTTTTGGGTCACCCTTCCTCGGTGGGAGATGGCCGACTTGTTGGAAAAAAAAATCACCTTACTCTTTTCTATGTTCACATCCCTATCTAAGGCCTACTTTTACCGGGAAGTAAATAATAATACATGTTATTAATAATAATACGATAGAATTGAAGAAGGAAATTGTACAAAAATACGAGGGTTGCAGCAGTGGCGGAGGCATTGTGAGTCAGTTTGGCTTTGTTTATGCTGAAGTGAGCATTAGCCTCCATGCTCTTCAAAACATTTCACAAAAATTCATTGTGTTTGGTGCTTGTAGATAGAGTGCAACTGTTACATAATTAACCATGGGCCCAAAGGAACTTGCTAGTGCCAGCCCTTTGGTAAAGAAATTGAGAAACACGATAGAATTGAAGAAAGAAATTGTACAAAAATACAAGGCAGTGCACCGTAGTGGTTGAGGCAGTGGTATTTAATAACATACATGTTATTAAACCATAACATGTGTGTATATAGTACAATATTTTATGATGTTTTTGTGTATTTTGTGATTGTTCATGGTTCAACAAGTTAAGGAAGCAGTATTGTATTATATTTCCCTACAATATATTGGGGTACCAAACATTCGCGAGGCTCTTGATCCCCTAACCCTCACGAATGTTGAGGGAGACATGTATAAACATCTTGGCCATCTTGGAGGCACATCTTGACTAAATCATATTTGAGACTGACCAGCAACCTGCTCTAACATGCTAGCAGGTAGAAAGCACCACAGTCAATTGAAATTTTGAAATTCACGATGTATAATAGTATGCTACAAGACTCACGAAATCATAACGCAATTGCAAACAAACCACGGAATGGGTGGGATGTGAACCCATGGCAAGCTTTGCTTCTTTAGTTTCAAATATATACACTAATTGCAATGTACTTTACTGATTGCCAGGGTAGGGATCAACATCTCATACTTTTTTGTACCTCAAAGGATTTTGGATGCTGTCAATTGCAATACAATCTCTCATCACTTAATGACATACTCGTTTAATGACTGCTCAGACTTACGACCAGCTCTCTGACCAGCATGCATACCTAAGCAATGTATATTAGAGCTGATATCCTCTATTGTTTATTTCAATATATATAGTACACTACTGTAAAAACGTTTAAAAATATTCTAAAAATGTTATAAATGGTGCAGAGGCGACATTGTGGTCTACATTATATAAATACTGTATGTGAACTTGGATATTGATTATGAATGTGCAGGATGATTCTTAGAATTATTGATGTGACTAATCCTATATTTGATTTTAGGACACGCTGCATGTTTTGGACTCTTCATTGGGAAATGAAAGTAATTCTAACATGGTTATGGCTGCTGCATCTCCTAAGCCAGTAAGGATGTCCACCAAACCACAGAGAATGTCACGGCGTGTCACCCGTCAGGTGAAGCACAATGATTCTTTTGTTTATGAGGTATGCTGAATTTGAAATTTTACTCATGCTCCTAAATATATAAAAATAGATATTACATAATTCAAAAGTTGAGAAACATTGTATATTAAATTTACCTTTCTGTACTGTTAAAAATGGTACGTGATGCCAACCAGTAATTGGGATCTGTTCTTGAACCTTTGTCACTTTTGGAGTGACTGAAGTCCCTAGACAGAAATGTTTCCAATAAAATGTTCTGGTGTTTGCATTGTCTTTTTCTTCCAACTTCTAAAACTGTACCAGGAATGCACATTGAAAATGTTATCCAACCGTCATGGGACCTAAAGTTGTTACAGTGGGAAGTTGTTACTTAAATGTAATGCTATACTATGTCTTTCTGACTCAGAGAACCAGTCTTGTTAACATGAAGATAAATAAAGACTGATTAATTATGTTCTGTACCAAAACTAAGTTAATTGTATTCACAGCTGGTTAAATCAATGACATTTGAATAATTTTACACTATTTGATGTGCATGATACATAATTAAAAAAGATCCAAGGTAGCCACTGTCATGTGTATTTTACTACACTGTAAAACAGTGATCTTAACTAGGGGTAAATTTACCCCTTGAGGTAAAAAATTACATGGCAAGGGGTAAATATTGGATGTACCTGATGATTGAATAATTTTTTTTTCTGACCTTGTTTTTCTGTCCCTTTATGATAGGGATAAAATTTTTGGATGGAAGTAAGGGGGTAAATGGAGAAATACATCAAGCTGAGGGGAGGTTAATGATGGAGGAAAAGTTGAGAATCCCTGCTGTAAAACATGAGTTACTGTGCCACCTGCAGCCATCACCTGACACTGCAGTGGTTACCTGAAGCCGTCACCTGATACTGTAGTGGTTACCTACAGCCATTACCTGACACCATACTGGTTACCTGTGACAGTCGCCTTACAACAAGAGTTATTCCAGGCCCTTTATCCAACATTGGGCCCATCTTGGAGTATACAGCAAAAGTATGGAACCTGCACTTGCAAGAGCATGTTATGAAACTGGAGAAAGTGCACAAGTATTCAGCAAGGTTTGTTCCTGATCTAAGGGGCATGAGCTATTAGGAGACAACACCAAACAACATTGGAGGAGAGAAACATAGGGGACATAGCATTCAGAATCTCAGGGAAATACAGGGTAAACAGGAATAGGCTGTTTGAGAGGTGAGAAATGGGGACAGTGCTGGAAGTTACGGTGGAACCTCGGTTGTCGTCATTAATTTGTTCCAGAAAGTCTGACAAAAACCAAATTCGATGAAAACTGAAGCAATATTTCCCATAAGAAATACTGTAATGTAAATCCAGTTAATCTGTTCTAGACACCCAAAAGTAATAACAAAAAATACATTTTAAAGAGAATAACTATAGTTTGACATACAGAAAACAATGAGAAATAAATATGAAGGACTATTGAAATGGATAAATGAACATTTAACATCACTTCTACATTTATTAAAGACTTGTTGGCCTATAGAAGATTGTGTGGAGGGGGGAGGGAGGAGAGGTTACCTCTACCACTATCACCCTCTACCATCACAACCACTACCATCATCACCACCATCACTACCACACACTACCACCATCACTACCACCATCACTACCACCCTCTACCACCATCACTACCACCCTCTACCACCATCACTACCACCCTCTACCACCATCACTACCACCCTCTACCACCATCACTACCACCCTCTACCACCATCACTACCACCCTCTACCACCATCACTACCACCCTCTACCACCATCACTACCACCCTCTACCACCATCACTACCACCCTCTACCACCATCACTACCACCCTCTACCACCATCACTACCACCCTCTACCACCATCACTACCACCCTCTACCACCATCACTACCACCATCACTACCACCCTCTACCACCATCACTACCACCTTCTACCATCACTACCACCCTCTACCACCATCACTACCACCCTCTACCACCATCACTACCACCCTCTACCACCATCACTACCACCCTCTACCGATGAGAAACAAAGCCAGACTGACTCAGAACGCGTGGGATGCTTTGTGTGGGCACGGGCGGACACGTTTGGTACGGTGGACCACTGTCAACTCTGAAAACAGAGGTGATGAACAAAAATTGGGACAAAATTTTGATGAAAAAAGTCATTGAAAACCGAATTCGACGAAAACCAGGCAAACAAAAACAGAGATTCCACCATACTTACAGATGACCCACAGTGGTTGGAAAGTGGAATGATCTTGGTGAGGCAGTGGTGGAGGCTAAGAAGGAAAAAATCTGGAGAGTGGCATGTTAAGAAGCAGGGACAAGATTTGAGAATCAACCCCTGCAACCACAAATAGGCAAGTACTATACTGGCTGGCCACCTGCAACCACCATTTTATGGGTTGCCTGTGGCCATCAGATACTGTACCATTTGCAACCTTCACTGGCTGCCTGCAACCTTTGCTTAATACTGAATGATCAAGCCTGCAGTGATCAACACCAATACCCACCTCTTATTTGTAATAGATCATTAGTGACTCCTATGTATCATACTTAACTTTCATGAACATAAAATATATTTGGTAATCTCTCCAGTTTGGCATGTTAATACTGTAGTATTCAGCACAGATTCAAAGAATCTGTGTACTCAAGTGGGAAAGCATGCAGAAATGTTGTGGTCTTATCAGTGAAGTGACAATCAGTGGTACAAAGTCACTGAGTTCATCACAATGTTGGTCCAGCCATTTTTAATTTAAAAGAGAGAAGGCACAGCCAGTATTTTAATAGCTATTGGCACATGTGTTACATACCCACCAACTTAAAAATGAGATGGACTTGTGAAAATAGCAGGATCCGCTTGTACATGTTCAGGCATTTTGAGTGGTTGTACCAGCACCATTCCTGAACCCTTTCATGAAACATGAAAAAGGTTTTCACTATAAACTCTGCAGAATTTATACTTGGACATAGTGAAAAGTAGAGCAAGAGCAAGATTTCATTAAGGTTATGGAGAATTGGGCTTGCAAAATTGTAAACAACTTGCAGAATGGAGTGAGCCTGCGTGGTATATAGGATAGCACACTGGCCTAGCTTTAGGATTGGCTTGTCATTGGTTCAAACTCCACTCTCTTCATTGAGTTTTGGAGTAACTAAGTTGTCATGAATATCAACGTTAGAGGCACACGGAGAGTTGACAGCTTTGGCTGATAAGGGCTCTGATAAATTGTAGGGGGGTGTTTTATCAATTGAATTGGGTTTTACATGGATTTGTTTATACAGATAAGTGAATACTTCCATAAGAACATCTTCCAGGACTATTAATGAGCTGCAGTAGCATTTATTTTTTTTAATAGGATAATCCTGAGGTATTCAGTGAAAATGATGACGACGTCTGGCAGCCTTCAGCACCCACCAAGAGACAACCACAACGTACCCGCAAGCCCAAGGGAAACAAGTCCAAGCCACAAATTACAAATCCACATCTAAAAGATCAAGAGAACAATAGCAGGTATTTGTTTATACACCCCTTTAATTTTCCATATTTTTCAGTATAAAGTGAAATACATGTAATTAAATATTTTCTTGAGCAGATACGGTTTTGTATTACACTGAGCTTTGCCTCTTGTAGAATCGTGAAGGGTGCATACAGGGATCCCCGATTTACAAATATGTTATTGAAAAGCATTCATTACATTGAACTTATTGCTCCAGATACCTATTTTATAATTAGAGATGTGTTCCCAAACAATATTTTGTATGCAGTTTACACTGGTAAAGCATAAAAAAAAACCTAGCTGGTGGAAAAATGACTTGCAGATAATTCTTGCACCCTAGTTATTAGAGGCAAGATTTCTTGACTAAGTGTGGCGTTTCACTCTCGCTCTGTTTAGTATGAAACAATACTGGTCTGCATTTGGAACGTTTTTAATTTTTATTTTTATTTATGGTTGCATTCTTACATATTCTTGGGCTGCTGACTGTAAATATCTAAATCATTTTGCTTTATCATGTGAGGATTTTGAATAAAATACAAATTAATGATAAAAAATGTGAATTTTTAATAAATTCTTAATTTATTAACCCTTTGACTGTTTCGGTCGTGTATATATACATCATACGAGCCACCATTTTTGAGTTACATATAATCATAAATTCTTGAGGCTTCAAATCAAGCAGGAGAAAGCTGGTAGGCTCACATGTGAGAGAATGGGTCTGTGTGGTCAGTGTGCACCATATAAAAAAATCCTGCAGCATGCAGTGCATAATAAAAAAAAACTCCAGTCATGTTTTTTTGCATTAAAACACCAACTTTGTGGTGTATTTTCGTATAGTATTTATGGTTGCACTATTCTCATTTTCTTGGTCTCATTTGATAGAATGGAAAACATAGAAATAGAGGTGATTTTGATTGGTTTTACTATGAAAAGAACCTTCAAATGGAGCTCAAAGTAGAGAAAAATTTTGCTGATGTTCAAAAGTAAACAATTTGTCATTGTCCAATAAATGTCCAACTAGCCATTCTAATATGCAGTCATGAATGGGTTGACATTATTTGTACAATTATTACAGTAGTTGCATAATAGTAAATCTTCTATTATTTGAATAAAAATTCAAAATAAAAGGCAAGAGTAATATCCGAGTCCGAGGGGCCTGGAGATGTGACTGATGAACAAAGAAAATGTTATTTTAGAGCCAGGAATGTCTGCATTGTTCATTCTGAACCTCATTTTGAAAGTGTCATATTTTTTAATTTTCGTGAAATTGGCCAAATTGCAAATTTCTGACCACGTCATTGGGTACTTGAAATTGGTAAATGGGCAGTTTCTTGTACTCGGCCGATATTAAAAACGGAGTTCTAAAGAAATAGCTGTGAGTGGTCGACTGGAATTAGCCGAAAATTGGGCTCAAAGTGGGCGAAATCGCCGATTTGTAAATATCGCCAAGGTCGCTAGCTTCGCTAGAGTGTAATTCTGTCAGTTTTCCATCAAATTTCGTTCTTTTGTTGTCATTACAATCAGGAAAAGATTTTCTATCATAAGATTTTTTTTTTTTTTTTTTTTTTTGCGACCCCAGGAGACACCTCAGGATTTGGGGTTGTGGCAGTCAAGGGGTTAAAATTAGGCAAGTAATCATGGAAAAGTACATTCTGTTAGTTTTAAGAACATTATCACTGCTTTTGCAGAGGTGCTCAGAATACAACAGTTTAGAAGCATATACGTATAAAGATACACATCATATCCCTCCAAACTGCCAATATCCCAAACCCCTCCTTTAAAATGCAGGCATTTTACTTCCCATTTCCAGGACTCAAGTCTGACTATATGAAAATAACCGGTTTCCCTGAATCCCTTCACTAAATATTACCCTGCTCACACTCCAACAGATCGTCAGGTCCCAAGTATCATTCGTCTCCATTCACTCCTATCTAACACGCTCATGCACGCTTGCTGGAAGTCCAAGCCCCTCGCCCACAAAACCTCCTTTACCCCCTCTTTCCAACCCTTTCAAGGACGACCCCTACCCCTCTTTCTTCCCCTATAGATTTATATGCGTTCCATGTCATTCTACTTTGATCCATTCTCTCTAAATGACCAAACCACCTCAACAACCCCTTCTTCTGCCTCTGACTAATGCTTTTATTAACTCCACACCTTCTCCTAATTTCCACACTCCGAATTTTTGCATAATATTTACACCACACATTGCCCTTAGACAGGACATCTCCACTGCCTCCAACCGTCTCCTCACTGCTGCATTTACCACCCAAGCTTCACATCCATATAAGAGTGTTGGTACTTCTATACTTTCATACATTCCCTTCTTTGCCTCCATAGATAACGTTTTTTGACTCCACATATACCTCAACGCACCACTCACCTTTTTTCCCTCATCAATTCTATGATTAACCTCATCCTTCATAAATCCATCCGCCGACACGTCAACTCCCAAGTATCTGAAAACATTCACTTCTTCCATACTCCTCCTCCCCAATTTGATATCCAATTTTTCTTTATCTAAATCATTTGATACCCTCATCACCTTACTCTTTTCTATGTTCATTTTCAACTTTCTACCTTTACACACATTCTCAAACTCATCTACTAACCTTTGCAATTTTTCTTTAGAATCTCCCATAAGCACAGTATCATCAGCAAAAAGTAACTGTGTCAATACCAAAACTGTTGTCCAGAGGGCTGAGGAAGGGTTGTTGAGGTGGTTCGGACATGTAGAGAGAATGGAGCGAAACAGAATGACTTCAAGAGTGTATCAGTCTGTAGTGGAAGGAAGGCGGGGTAGGGGTCGGCCTAGGAAGGGTTGGAGGGAGGGGGTAAAGGAGGTTTTGTGTGCGAGGGGCTTGGACTTCCAGCAGGCATGCGTGAGCGTGTTTGATAGGAGTGAATGGAGACAAATGGTTTTTAATACTTGACGTGCTGTTGGAGTGTGAGCAAAGTAACATTTATGAAGGGATTCAGGGAAACCGGCAGGCCGGACTTGAGTCCTGGAGATGGGAAGTACAGTGCCTGCACTCTGAAGGAGGGGTGTTAATGTTGCAGTTTAAAAACTGTAGTGTAAAGCACCCTTCTGGCAAGACAGTGATGGAGTGAATGATGGTGAAAGTTTTTCTTTTTCGGGCCACCCTGCCTTGGTGGGAATCGGCCGGTGTGATAATAAAAAAAAAATAAAATAAATAATTTAATCCCACCCCTCTCCCGAACACCCTAGCATTTACTTCCTTTACAACCCCATCTATAAATATATTAAACAACCATGGTGACATTACACATCCCTGTCTAAGACCTACTTTTACCGGGAAGTAGTCTCCCTCTCTTCTACACACACTAACCTGAGCCTCACTATCCTCATAAAAACTCTTTACAGCATTTAGTAACTTACCACCTATTCCATATACTTGCAACATCTGCCACATTGCTCCTCTATCCACTCTATCATATGCCTTTTCTAAATCCATAAATGCAATAAAAACTTCCCTACCTTTATCTAAATACTGTTCACATATATGCTTCAGTGTAAACACTTGATCTACACATTCCCTACCCACTCTGAAGCCTCCTTGCTCATCCGCAATTCTACATTCTCTTACCTCTAATTCTTTCAATTATAACTCTACCGTATACTTTTCCTGGTATACTCAGTAAACTTATTCCTCTATAATTTTTACAATCTCTTTTGTCCCCTTTCCCTTTATATAAAGGGACTATACATGCTCTCCGCCAATCCCTAGGTACCTTCCCCTCTTTCATACATTTATTAAACAAAAGTACCAACCACTCCAACACTATATCAATATGAATCAAATCAGATGATTTTATTAAAAAAATATGCTCCTAATGGTATGCCTACATATTGAATCAAAGCAAAGGAAGGAGGACTGCTTTGATTTTCGCTTGTGTTGTGCATCGAGACCATTACATTTCAATGACCAGCAGTAATCCACCATCATGCTGACATTCCATTTGCCCTGGTATCAAGTTTCCATGGTGCAAATATCCTGAGGGAACCGTTGTCCTTGTTCCTCACTGTAGTCCCTACAATTGTTGGGAATATAGTAAAGATGTCAGTGCAAAAGGTGCATCTTCACACTCATTCTAGACCCAAGTTGTTGAAAACTTGAAATCAGGTCTCGGATCATTTTTTCGTATTCAGGGGAGTGCCTGTTTCCCTGGAAGTTATGGACAATCTGCTTGAATGAAATCCAGGCATTCATCTTGACACCTGCTAATGCTTCATCAAAATGCTTATCCTTCATCAATTCCTGAATCTGAGGGCCAATAAAGATACCTGACTTTAGCTTGCCTTCACTTATACGAGGAAACGTTGACTCTCGGTTCTTGAAAGCAGTTCCAGTCTTGTTCAAGGCCTTCACAAAAATTTCATAAGCCCTAATTTGATGTGGAGTGGTGGCAGCAGAATTTTCTTGGGGTCAACTAGTGCCACAGTTTTCACATTGTGCTTTCCGGGTAAGAAGCTGGTTCTTGGTGGCTAGTCTTTTTATTCATAGTGCTGGCTGTCTGTCCTACTTTCCCAAAGACACGGAAAACAGGGATGCTTGGTGTATCTGCCTTGAAGACCTAGTAGGAGAGCAGTAACATTTAAATCAACACAAATGAGAAAATTGTGATTCTTGTACTTGATTGCAGATATTAGTGTCCATATATTTGTGTAAGTTTCTGACATTTGGACACAGGCCAATTGGCACAGATGCAACTGTGTTGCCATTGTATAAAAGTACAGCCTTTAAACTTCTTTTAGAAGAATCAATGACGTCTCCATTCATCTGCTTTGTGTGACATCCCCATTTGTTCAATAAGACCAGAAATATTTGAACAGAAAGCTAAAGATTCTTCTTTGTCAAAGAACTGAGTGAATTCCACTTCATGATGACAGTACCAAGCTAATGTTGTTCCAGGAGCTAGAAGCCTGTGTTCCTTCAGTCTAGAGCCAATTAACTGTGCACTTTCTTTTGAAAGGCTAAGGTCTCACCAAGTCATTGAGCTTAACTTGGTTGAAGGGTTCGGGATCATCATTTGTTGGTGGTTCATGGTCTACTTCCATCTCCTTAGAATCACTGATATCAGACTGATGAAATTTGCCATGTCTCAGGTGACAGGTGCAGGAATATCTTCAGTGTGTGGAACAGGCCTTATTACTGAAAGAATATTTGGGTATATGCAATCTTTAGTCTTCTTGTTGAATCCAGCTACTTTAGTCATACAAAAGTAGCAATCATGATGGTTCATCTGCTCCTGCCATACCATTGGTACTCCAAAGGGCATACATTTAAGTTTTCCAACTGACCACATTTGGAGTTTACTGATGCAACTCTTACAAGCTTTGTGTGGTGCAAATGGTTTGTCCTGGTCTCCAACTTTGTAGCTAAAATGAGCAAAGGAGCAGCACTTCAGTAGAGGAGTAATGTTGCTCTGGGAATCTGAAGGGGTGAATTGCCCACAGACATAAAATGTCTGGTGAATTTATGCAGCCTCTAGACATATTAATAATCTGAAAATTAAGAAAGAGATTTAACATTTAAATCAATATAAGGTAAGCATTTTAATTGGTAATATACCACTTTCTCATTTACTTGTGTTATACGAGAAAAGTAACTTTTCCGTATGACTTAACAATCTGATGTGATAGAAATGAATAAAAAACACAGTGAATCACTATTTTCCATATATATACTAAAATAGATACTGTAGTCAAAAAAAAATTCATGCAGACCAATGTATAATAAATAATGGTATGCTCTGCAAATATTGTCTTTCTCCCATGTCTTAGTTGTTTGGCTAATACCAACAAATGATTTGAGCGATATATTTCGGTGGGATACGGCCGGTGTGTTGAAAGAAAGTTTTCTTATATATTGACCATTGTTATATTCTTTGTATTTGACAAATGTCAGTGTGATAATGGTGGTATGAAGGAATTTGTTGTAACAGGTTAGCTGGACTGGAAGTGGGAAGTACAATCTCTGCACTCTGGAGGATGTAGGGACATTTTGATTTGGAGTATTATTCAAGTTGTAACACTGGCACATTTCTGGCAAGATAGCTATTGAATCAGTGACGAATGTTTCCTCTTTTGGGTCACCCTACCTTAATGGGAAAACATCCAGTGTGGTTAAAAACTAATGCTTTAAAAATTTTGATTTACACATGCTCCTTGGTTAATAATAAATCCTTTTTACAGCCTTGCAAATAGTGCAGAGAACACCGAACCCCCTCAAGATAACAATGAAAAACCTCGGGTACAAAGACGAAAACGTCTATTATACAAATCGGCCACTGATGAACCATACCAGGGCTCTCCAAATTTGGTTAGTACAGTATTTTATTTTATTATCCTATCTTTCATACCTTGATTTTTTTGTTACCCTCATCATCTTGCTCTCTCTTATTATTACTCTTAAGTTTCTTCTTGTTCATACCTTTCCAAATTTATCTACCAACCTTTGCACCTTCTCTTCACAATCTCCCAAATGCACCATGTCATTGTCAAAAAGCAAGTATGATAACTCTCACTTTGTATTAGATTCTCTATTTTGTAATCGCCCTACCTCCGTGGGAGACTGTGTGTTAACAAAAAACTTATCCCACACCTCTCCTCAACACTCTTAACATTGTTTATGGTGACATCACACATCCCTGTCTAAGGCCTAATTTTACTGGAAAATAATTTCCCTCTCTCCTACATATCCTTATCTGAGCCTCACTATCTTTATAAAAACACTTTAACTGCTTTAAGTAACTTACCATCTATTCCATACATATCCAACTTTTGCCACATTGCTGTTATCCACCCTTTCATATGCCTTTCTAAAGCCATAAATGCAGTGAAAACTTCCTTACCCTTATTTAAATACTATTCATTTGTATGCACACCCTACCAAATTCATCCACCAATCTCTGCAACTTCTCTTCAGAATCTCCCAAGAGTACAGTGTCATCAGCAAAGAGCAGCTGTGACAACTCCCACTTTGTGTGTGATTCTTTATCTTTTAACTCCACGCCTCTTGCCAAGACCCTCGCATTTACTTCTCTTACAACCCCATCTATAAATATATTAAACAACCACGGTGACATCACACATCCTTGTCTAAGGCCTACTTTTACTGGGAAAAAAATTTCCCTCTTTCCTACATACTCTAACTTGAGCCTCACTATCCTCGTAAAAACTCTTCACTGCTTTCAGTAACCTACCTCCTACACCATACACTTGCAACATCTGCCACATTGCCCCCCTATCCACCCTGTCATACGCCTTTTCCAAATCCATAAATGCCACAAAGACCTCTTTAGCCTTATCTAAATACTGTTCACTTACATGTTTCACTGTAAACACCTGGTCCACACACCCCCTACCTTTCCTAAAGCCTCCTTGTTCATCTGCTATCCTATTCTCCGTCTTACTCTTAATTCTTTCAATTATAACTCTACCATACACTTTACCAGGTACACTCAACAGACTTATCCCCCTATAATTTTTGCACTCTCTTTTATCCCCTTTGCCTTTATACAAAGGAACTATGCATGCTCTCTGCCAATCCCTAGGTACCTTACCCTCTTCCATACATTTATTAAATAATTGCACCAACCACTCCAAAACTATATCCCCACCTGCTTTTAACATTTCTATCTTTATCCCATCAATCCCGGCTGCCTTAGGGTGTGCAAAAGAAGAAAATTAAAGGTGAATACAGGAAGAGTAAGGTTATGAGGATAACAAAAAGATTAGGTGATGAAAGATTGAATATCAGATTGGAGGGAGAGAGTATGGAGGAGGTGAACGTATTCAGATATTTGGGAGTGGACGTGTCAGCGGATGGGTCTATGAAAGATGAGGTGAATCATAGAATTGATGAGGGAAAAAGAGTGAGTGGTGCACTTAGGAGTCTGTGGAGACAAAGAACTTTGTCCTTGGAGGCAAAGAGGGGAATGTATGAGAGTATAGTTTTACCAACGCTCTTATATGGGTGTGAAGCGTGGGTGATGAATGTTGCAGCGAGGAGAAGGCTGGAGGCAGTGGAGATGTCATGTCTGAGGGCAATGTGTGGTGTGAATATAATGCAGAGAATTCGTAGTTTGGAAGTTAGGAGGAGGTGCGGGATTACCAAAACTGTTGTCCAGAGGGCTGAGGAAGGGTTGTTGAGGTGGTTCGGACATGTAGAGAGAATGGAGCGAAACAGAATGACTTCAAGAGTGTATCAGTCTGTAGTGGAAGGAAGGCGGGGTAGGGTCGGCCTAGGAAGGGTTGGAGGGAGGGGGTAAAGGAGGTTTTGTGTGCGAGGGGCTTGGACTTCCAGCAGGCATGCGTGAGCGTGTTTGATAGGAGTGAATGGAGACAAATGGTTTTTAATACTTGACGTGCTGTTGGAGTGTGAGCAAAGTAACATTTATGAAGGGATTCAGGGAAACCGGCAGGCCGGACTTGAGTCCTGGAGATGGGAAGTACAGTGCCTGCACTCTGAAGGAGGGGTGTTAATGTTGCAGTTTAAAAACTGTAGTGTAAAGCACCCTTCTGGCAAGACAGTGATGGGGTGAATGATGGTGAAAGTTTTTCTTTTTCGGGCCACCCTGCCTTGGTGGGAATCGGCCGGTGTGATAATAAAAAAAAAAAAATAAATAAATAAAATAAATCATTTGTATGGTTCAGTGTAAACGCCTATTCTTCACATCCTTATCCTTCCTAAAACCACCTTGTTCATCTGAAATCCTGCTCTACGTCTTATCCTTAACTCTTTAAATAACAATAACTCTACCATACACTTTAACTGGTATACTCAACAGGCTTATTCCTGTATAATTTTTGCTCTTTTGTCCCCTTTTCCTTCATTTTTTTTTTTTTAACAAATCAGCTGTTTCCCACACATGCAGGGTGACCTGAAAAAGAAGAAACATTTTCATCATTCACTCCATCACAGTCTTGCCAGAGGCATGCCCATACTGCAGTTAAAAAACATATCTCCACCTTTCCAGAGTGTAGGCACTGTACATCCCACCTCCAGAACTCAAGTCTGGCTAACCAGTTTCCCTGAATCCTTTCATAAATGTTATTTTGCCTCTCACCACAACAGCACGTCAAGTCATAAAAACCATTTGCCTTCACTCGCTCCTGTCTAATGTGCTCACGCATGCTTGCTGGAAGTCTAAGCTCCTCGCACACAAAAACTTCCTTTCCTAGGACAACCCCTACCCTGCCTTCCTTCCACTACAGATTTATACACCTTCCAAGTCATTCTGCTTCATTCCATCCTTTCTAAATGTCCAAACCATCTCAACCCCTTCCTCATCCCTCTGGATAATACTTTTAGAAATCCCCACACCACCTAATTTCCAAGCTATGGATTCTCTACATATTCACACTGCACATTGCCCTCAGACATGACATACCCACTGCCTCCAGCTTATTTGTTGCAACCCTCACAACTCGTGCTTCATGTCCACATAATGTTGGAACCTCTGGTCACGACCATAATTCGTTTCAAAACTCTGTTCATGACCTGATTTGGTCATGACCCAAACCTAATTTCCCCATTGAATTGTGTGGAAATACGATTAATCCATTCCAGACAAGACCCCTACTAACTGTGTGTGTTTTTTTTTTTTTTTTAAGCACAAGAATAGTTAATTATACCATAGAATGCACAGTGTAATAGTAAATTAAATGCAAAACCCTTGAATAACCTTGAGAAAACCTTGAACAACAGAGAAAACTAACATTGCACAAGTCCCTTCTAGACTCCTACGAACTGTTCGCTGTAAAGTTTTTTTTTTTTTTTTTTTTTTTTTTTTTTTTTTTTTTTTTTTTTTTTTTTTTATATATATATATATATATATATATATATATATATATATATATATATATCTGCAAATGATGGGTGTTCTTATCTGTGTCTGCCATGAGGATGAGAAACAGCAGAGGTGCCAGGACAGTGCCTTGGGGCACTGAGCTTTTTACCTTGCTAATGCTGGATCTTGCTCTGTTTACTACTACTTTTTGTGTTCTGTGTTAGGAACTCGAAAATCCATCTGCCTACCTTCACTGTAATGCCCATGGCCCTTATTTTGTGTGCTATCACTTCATGATCGCATTTGTCAAACACCTTTGCAAAATCTGTGTAGATTGCATCAGCATTTTGGTTGTGTTCCAACGCCTCTGTAATTTTGTCATAATGGCTCAGCAGCTGTGACAGGCATGATCGTCCTGCTGTAAAACGATACTGGTTTGGGTTGTGCTGGCCCATGAAATTTGTAATCTGCCATCTCATCACTCTTTCAAAGACTTTTATGATGTGAGAAGTTAGGGCTTCTGGTCTGTAATTTTTAGCTTTACTACCTCCCTTGTGCACCAGAGCTATGTCTGCACTCTCTAAGGCCTCCGGTATTTCACCTAGATCTAAGCTCTTCCTCCAAAGAATACCAAGGGCTTGTGCTAGTGGTACTTTACACGTCTTTATAAATAGGGCATTCCATGAATCAGGTCCAGGTGCTAAGTGACTAGGCATGTTATCCATTTCTTTTTCAAAATCTATGGGATTTGTACTAATGCCAGTTGGTCTGTGCAGCCTTCTGCTGGAGTGAAAAATATTTCTGCATTTTCTACCTTGCTGTCATGTAGTGGGTTACTGAACACCGACTCGTACTGTTCTTTTAGGATTTCACTCATTTTCTGTTCGTCAGTATATGAATCTCCTCTCAATAATGATCGAATTCTACAGGTAGTTCTTAGCTTGGATTTTGCATAGGAATAGAAATATTTTGGGTTTCTTGCAATATCCTGTATGGCCCTTTGTTCCCTTTGGACTTCTTCTCTTAGGTATGACATCCTAAATTTTTGCTTTAATTCGGTTGTGACATGTGTTTTTAAGCAATTCAGTAACCCGTTTTCTTCTGTACCATCTCCTACACTCTTTCTATATCTGATCATCATCTGGGTATCCTCAGTGGTGCAAATAGCCCTTCACCTTCGTGAATTCCACTTTCACGAGCTTCAAACATACGCAAATCCCCAGCCACTCAATCATATATACCAAACAAATGTGGGGAAAAGTACAGGAAAATGCTTCCCGCCACGTCCCTGCTACCCTCCCTCGTACCCCATCAACTGGCAGCCCGCCAGGAAGTCTGTGGAGTTAACAAGGCTAGTTGGTGGTGAAGGGTTCGAGGATATGCAGGAGGGCGATTTTAGAGAGCTGGTTGATGAAAATTCACTGGACCTAAATGATGATGAATTGTTGGAGATTGTGCAGGCAGAGAATGACGATGAAGAATAAGTGTGCTGCTGAGGCCAGTCAACCTCAAGCCCTCACCCTTGAAA